CCAGTATTTATTTAAATGTGCCAAAATAAGATTTTTTGTTAGTTTTAAATTAATTTGTTTTTAAAGATTCTAACTCACAGTTAATATAATGGGCTTTTATATTGTGTAGCTAATTTTTACCCTTCAGAGTTAGATGTCTTACAATGGAAAAGAGAGGAAGAACGAAAGGAAAATTTTTTTCTTACATTTTAAGAAGTTCAATATTCTTAAAGAAGGTGGGAAAAAGAGTTACATCCTTTATAATCAATCTAGATTTTATAATTCTGAAACTAAAGATGTAAGAGCTGTAAAATCACAAGGTACCTGCAAAATAGAGGGGCACTGTCCATCTACTATTGAAGTTACCAGTAATGGATTAAGATTTTATATTTCCAAACACGTGGGACACATTAGATCTAAAACATTTAACAAAAGATTTGCGAGAAGTGATGCAGGTAAGTTTCTTTATGAACCTGATTGTGAAATTCAATTTAAATATAACAGACATTATTATACAACATTATCATATAAATGCAATATTTTCAGGTAAATTAAAGCATTCTACCACAGAAAGTATTAGATGCTGCTAGGAAGACATTTATAGGGAGCATTTATTGACAAAAAAAAAAAAACATGCACAACATTTTTAACTTTTACTGTATTGGTAATGATGAGCAATATGATCCAAATGATGCCGTCAGTTTAAGGATATGCATAAAAAAATGAAAAATTTAGATGATAATCCAGTTCTTTTTGTAAAATTCCAAGGAGAAGCAGCAGATCAGCACTTGGAAATTAGTGACTTCTGCATCATCATAATGACAAATGTTCAAAAGCATATGCTTTTAAAGTTTTGGATCCGATAGCATATGCATCAATAGCACACATGGGACTAATGCTTACGATTTTCAATTATCGACAGTTTTAGTCATAGACGAGTTTAATTCAGGATTTCCTGCTGCTTTTTAAGCCTGCCTAAGCAATAGAGTAAATTTAGGTTCAATGCAAAAATAGTTCAGTGTATTAGGGACAAAGTTGGATTGCTGCGTGTAAATTGCATTATGAGCGATGATGCACCAGTACATTATATTGCATGGACAAAAGTAATGTGTGCTGCCAAATTTAGAATTCCATGCACCTGGCTCATTAAAAAGGCATGGCTGCAAAGAGAAATTGAATTATATCCTCAAAGCAAAAGCAAGTCTTGAAATTCTTAAATGTAGTATCTGAATGTCATGATATAAAAGAATTTGAAGCACTGATGTCTGATTCCTCCTCAGCAAACTCTTTGCTGATAGAGATACAGAAAAGTTTGCTAATTACTTTGCCTCAAATTATGCAAACAGATGGGAGTTCTTCGCTAAATGCTATAGAAAAAGATGTAACATCAACTAACAATCATCTTGAAGCACTGCATCGAGTTTTAAAATATTCTTATCTTGATGGATTGAAAAACAAGAGGGTTGATAAAGCATTGCAAAGCTTATTAATGGTGCAAATCCAAATTTATCAACAAAACAACAAAGGGCAAAACAATCAAAGATCAAACAAATTTAAATTTACAGAGCAATAAATTTTCCAGCTAATAATATCACAGAAATCAATGAGTTTTCTTGGCATGTGATTTCAGAAAGTGACCCTACTCTTGAACATACTGTTACACAAATACATACAGTCTATTAATGATAAATTGTTTGTAAATGCTGCAAAGTCTGTAATGATGCATTTGAATGCACATGCACAGATGCCACGATTAAAGGAAGTGTGTCTGTAAACATATAGATGCAATAATTTTAAAGACAAGATTACCTAATGAAGAACAGTCCTCTAAAAGTAAAGAATCAAAAACTGATATAAAATCCTTTCTTGATCTATCAGCACAAAAATTAAAAAAATCAGGAACCAAGCACCATATTATAGATCAACTGAGTATCATATCAAAACTTGTAACATCAACAACAGTAAATAATATAACTTTGGGAGAACTTGGAAACGCACCGAATAGTGATTACGAAATTAAAGAAAGAAAAGCCGAAATTGAAAATAGTGAACTATGAACAGACAAATAAAAAAACAGAGAAACAAAAGAATTTCTTTTCTACAAGAAAGAAAAGTCCATGTAGTACTGAAGATATCACAACAGCTTCATGTAAGAAAGCTGCTTTAGATGTCATTAGAAAAAATGACACACTTATAATTCATGATTCTTTACATTTCATCATGTAATTATTTTGTAGAACAATCATGCATACATTTTGCAAAACAATAATCATGTAATTATTTTGTATATAAGCTCTAAATATTCTATAAATTAAAATGTACTGAGATGACTTAAAATATATAATAAAATACTCTTAGTCTTATCACTTCTTCAACCTTAGTAGATACACAACCTATTAATCAGTTTTTGATCTGCATATTCTGTCGCAGTATTTCACTACTACTATTAGTGTATTAGTGTAAAGTTCTCCAGTTGATGGTACACATACAGTACAGTTAGCAGCATTATTTTACATAACAGCAATATATAATGTGTTTATTATTACCTATCTCAACAACATGTGCAAAAGGACAAATAGTTTCAACATGAAATATGCAGTTACAGATGCAGTCAAATATATAGATAGTAACATCATACAGATACAGATATAGGAATAACAATTCGAACACTTGATTATTACAAAGGATAATCCTATATTTCAATATCTGCTAACAAACCAAAGTGTACTATGATATTTCTCTAAAAAATGATTAAAAATGCCACAAAAATATGGTAACTGCTTTAAAATTCTTAAATTCATATAAGTGTAAATCTTAGTGTTTTGAAAATGCTACTGTATTCCTTTGGTTACTGAGTATTTTTTAATAGCTGGTGACAAGAACCATAACTTATGTATACTGAAAACTTAAATTATTCCAAGAGAATTGATTAATAAATTTCATACAGTAAATAAATCATTGGGCTGCAAAAGTATGTAGTATGCAAGATATATGACAACCAATAACAGAACAGAAATAAAATCTTTAAAAATTTGTATAAAGTGGCAAAGCATGTGAAAGCTATTTACCTCATAAACAACAGCTTCTCAACATTAGAGTTTGAGGGCTGCGTAGTAACTCTTGCTAAAAGTTCTATTTCTCTTTTCTTCGATAGTGAATCTCATGCGAAAGACGGGTCTCGCATCCGCATCTTGACAATGCTTATGTTTATCTATGATTTCTTTCTTAATTTCAACGGCCATGCCTTCCTTATTTTTCTTTGCAACACTATCTGAGACAACAGTCTTCTTGGGAGTCATTGTGAAATAATTATTTTCACGTTAAATGTAATAAACAATTAACTCACAAACACGTAGAACACTGAGTGATCTGACGAGAGAATTCCTCCAAGTCGAGCCAGATCGGGAAATGGTGCCACACATACCAATAGCCTGACTCACTGCTCATTACTAGAGTCAATGCTCATATTTACAGATAAATTTTTCACTCGTACTTTCCTTATAACTCGTATATAGAGATTCCACTGTATGTCACAAATGTACTCATATGAACGGGCTTTATGGGTTGAACCTGCTACTTTCAAGACAACGATGCCAGCTGTCATGCGAGATCCACCATGGATTGGTATGGTGACAATGGGGTTAACTGAATGGACTGTTCTGCCCAAATCCGAGCCCTACTGAGAACCTCTGGTATGAGCTGGATCACCGAATTAAGGTGTGCAACAATCGTCCAATATCAGTGAAGGAACTTGCATGTCTCTTCCAGGCCAAGTAAAAGAAAATAGGAAACAGGATAGGAAAAAAAGAATAGCCATCATACAAGGACAGCATGCCTTGGAAGTTTGAGGCTGCAATTCACATTTGGGGAAGCTCTACCAACTATTGAATATAAATATGTTTTGTTTTTCTTTTCTATCACAGGCGTCCAAATACTTACTGGTAGATAGTGTAGTTTAAATTAATGAGAGACGGTAGGGAATTATTATGATATTTTATATGCAAGTTTAGTTCATACAGTTTATGATATGGGTAAATTAACTTCAGTACGCTACTACCAATAAATTTTAATGTCAGAAAGCAATAGATGCATTACTTTGAAACCTCATGTCTTTTTAGAACAAATTAACATTATTAGTTCTTTTAATTCAGATGGATTGTTTATAATGCAAAATTCCTTCGATATTCTTTAATGTATTCTAAAGTTGAAAGCTAAATATATTTTTTTTAATGAATTTGTAAATTTTTGTAGGTAATTTGGCATTTCTTTCATTTTTTCACTGAGGTAAGAGCCTCACCTCTGCTCTGGCCGTACTCTTCAGATCTTAGTCCTAATGATTCCCAAACTTCAAGAAAGGCTTTCATTTCCACAATTTGCAATATTATGTACCCAGTTATCCCCTCTTCACATAAAAAATTCAGAGGTTGTTGATGGCATTATGGAGTACCCATATCAATGGAAAAGGGTCATGAACAATGCTGCAGATTACACATGGAAATTACAAAAATGAGTTTTTGCTACATCTGCACAGTGTTAATCTACACTACCGTTATCTCCATTAACATTCCAATCCGTATATTTTTTGCTCATCAGTTTGATACTGATATTAAAAATAAAGCTGAATGATTTAAAAAAAACAGTAGAAAATACTTAAGACCTGATCAATATCCAAAATAATGCATTATCAGCAGCATAGTGACAGGACTACTTTTAGAGCATCATAAAATTTCAGCCTTTCAAATTCAAAGTTACATCATACTTAAGTTTTCCTTAATTTTAATAGTTTATTAAAAAAATTATGTGACATGGATGAGTTGAAGATCAGCATTATCGCAAGAGTAGCTTCTATACATTAAACACAATTAAATGAGAAATTTTAGTGGAAAGATCTGTTTTCTTAACATAGTACTAATGATTTACATAGATATCTATGAAATATAAGGAACACAGTATCAATGTTAAGTAATTTAGATCGCAGAGAAATAAAAATGTAAGAGATTAATTGAATAAAGAAATACATCTTTAAAGGACAATTCAAACTTTTTATTTGAAAACCTAAAAAATCTCAATATATCAACAAAGTTTTTACTACACATGCATAATTATATAACAAAATTAGAGTACAAAAACAGTTTATTTAAACTAAAAACAGTTCATTTAAACTACAAGAAACAATGTGCTTTAGTTATCACTTTTATCCGGAGAACCGAAAAACTTTTTAAACAGAGACAAATACAATGGATCTGCACTTGATGTAGGCAATTTTAATATATTAGAACTTGATAGAGAATGCAAAGGAGATTCTAACATTTTACTGCCTTTAATACCTTCCAGTTTTCTTTTAAACTCAGGAAGATCACCTAAAATACAAAAATCTTAATATATAAATGCACTTACGCATATAAAGTGGCATACATATATAGAACGGTGTATAAAAATGATTCCACAGAAGAGAAGTAATGGGAGTTTTAATAGAAAAAAATACGCTTGATTACTGTATCATGTTTCAGATAGAAAAACAATGCATATCATACTTTAAATTAAATATACATATTTTACTGCAAGATGTCAATTACTCCTGATAATGTAATCAATCTTAGTTTGCTTTTGTTTTGGATATGCCCAAAAATCATGATTTCCAATTCTCGAAAGCGTCTCACTATGCTTGGTTTCACATCAATATTCTGAAGATAATCAGTCTAAAACTTGTAGCACATTACTAAAATACAGAGCAATTTGTATAGATTTTACCATAATCATCATAATCTCTTTCAAACACTATTCTGGCCTGATGACTTCAGAATCCTTTAATTCAGTTGTTAATAAATAGATTTACATCATCAAAATCTAAAAAAGAATTATACATTGGGTCATATATAGTATTCTACTTCTTTTTCAAGTTTAAACTCTGTATGACTTTTACTCCTGACTACATAATTTATAGCACTAAGAACTCTTGACAATCTAATCTTTTTCTATTATCTAGAGGTCAAATGTTTGAAGTCAGCCAGTCCAGTTTGCAGGGAAGAAAATGGCTAGTATAGTGTCAATGATGGGAGTGCAAGGCAGTCATTCATTAATAATTCAGCTTTTCTCTTCTTTTACATCACTTTTATCAATTCATTCAAAAAATATGTAAAAACTGTAGATGTCATCCATTCACTTTTGTTATTTATTTATGAGTATGATAATTTCTTAATGTTTTTGAAGCAGCACAAACTCAAAGATTTATATACAACCACAGGGGTAAGGTTTCTCACTTACAAATTGCTCTGTACTTTAGTGGTTTTACAGCAAAGAAACATAGTATGTCTCTGCTGTATTTGGCACCATGACAAATCTCTTAATTCAAATCCAGGCAGATGTTGAAAAAATAAGCCATTTTCATTCCAACTAAAGATGTCTTTTAGACTGTACACATTAACGCATTTATTCAAAAGTAGATGCTTCAAAAACTGTTGCTGCTGTCATCAAGTTTCTTCCTTCAAAAACTCTCTTTCATTTTACACAGTAGTTCTAAGATGGGCCTGACCTCCAGCGATATTTTGCTTACACCTCTGTTGCTCCTCTTGGACGAAGAAGTCTCCCCTTATGACATGTAACCCGACTAATGTCTAATTTTTGTGTTAGGTTTGTTCAATGAATACATTCATTTTCCCTCAGATTTGGCTTTTTGAATTTTTCTGAGGTTCTGGGTATATTTTAGACTTTATGTTTTCTGCAAATAATAGATTGTTTTATAGACTGTATTTGGCAAGCTTTTAATGAGGATCACTGTTTTTTGATTGCATAACGTTTTTCACGCCAATTTTTTTTTTATATTATAAGCATATATGTATCTGCAATGACAAATACTTATATGCTTATGGGATTTATTCCTAAGAAGGTTTTTCAAAATTTGGTATTTTTTTATTTAGTGTCAAATTCTCAAATGCAGTAATTCTCATAAATTATTCTTTAATGGATGAATTAATCATTGCACTTTTTTACTAACTACAGCAATACACACAGTGGCATTCGCTAAGGGAAAGGATGCCTTCTATAGAGGTTATTTTAAAATATATTGGCTCATATCTCTGTTACACATGAGGAAAACCACTAATTTTCTAGTTTTTCTGCTTTATGTAGATTAAAAAAGTATAAAATATAATACATAAATGAAATCATTTGAAACTGCACAATTTTAGAAAAATTCACATTTATTAAGTCTCAATTATATGCGTGATTAAAAATTAAACCATGGCAATCCCATATACAAATTCTGTTATAACATTAACAGAATTTCAAGAAACAATAGAGGTAACAGTACAGAAATGATATCAATAAGACTAATTATATCAGGTGCTTTTATTTTAAAATTCTGCCCTTGTTAGCATCCGATGATTTTATTTTTAGTTTTGCATGCCCAAGAATATTATGGCAATTATTTCGAACTTATTAAATATATACTGGTTTCCAAAATTAAAGAAAAATAACAAAATGGTGATAACTCATTCAAAAATAACCAAATACATATAAAATTTGAACATGTTATTGAACAAGAATTGCTGAGTAAAACTGCATTATGCAAATTAGTGGCACTGCAGTAGAGATACATCAACTGCAATGAGCATAAAATTTCGTGTTTCGGAGCAGGCCTACAAATTTCACTGTAATACCGAGATAAGAAATCTGGGATAGTCAATTTGTAATAATGACGTCTAGGCATTATTTGCCCAGAAAAACTGTGATGGAGAGCTAGTGGGAGACTAGAAGGCAGAGCAAAGTCAGGCAGAAGAGGCCAGATGGCTTAATGTGAGCCCTGTGGTTCATAGACTTTGGCAACAATTTTTAACCACAGATTCGGCATTCATGAGGTTCAGCTAAGGATGGGCAACTGCTACAATGAGCACTGATGACCGATGTTTGTTGTTATGCAAACAAAGGAATAGAACTTCAACTCCGACTCAAGTGAAATCTTCCTTTCCTGCAGGCAATGTAAGGTTTCTGTCCACGTCAACTGTGCTTAGAAGGCTTCACAAAAGGAGATCTGTATGTAAAGGAAACCAGCCATTTGCACGCTGCTCATGTCACATCATGGAATGTTTGAGGTAGGCACGTCAACATGTCCACTGGAACAGCTGATCCATGGAGAGGAGTTCTCTTTATGGGCAAGTCCATATTTACCCTCCAAAGCGATAGCAGGCATTATTTGATTTGGAGAGAACTTGGAACTCATTTTCAAACATCCATGAAAAATATACGAGGGCCATCCAGGAAGTAGATTACGTTTCCGTCTGTGTCCGCTAGGGGCGGAGCTAGCGCGGCCATCTTGGGGTCAGAGCGTTGCGCAGCTCAGTCTGCATCTAGCCGTGCTAGTGAGAGGTTCGTGCTGTGCTCCGTTCAGATACTGTGACGGTTTGAAATGTCTGCGTTAATTGAAAATCCCGCGAGCTGCGAGGTGCGCTCAGTAATAAGGTTTCTGACTGCAAAAAAACTGTAAACCGATAGAAATCTATCGGCAGCTTCGTGAAGTGTATGGGGACAACATTATCACTGAAGGTGGAGTGCGTCAGTGGGTCATAAGATTTCAAAATGGCCGAACCAATGTTCACGACGAAGATCGAAGTGGGAGACCCAGCATAGTGACCGCCGAACTTCTCGAAAAAGTCGATGCTAAAGTCCGTGAAAATCGAAATTTCACAATAACGGAACTTTCTTTGAGTTTTCCACAAATTTCGCGAAGTTTGTTGCACGAAATCATCAGCGAAAAGCTTGGTTACCACAAGTTTTTGTGCAGATGGATTCCAAAAATCGACAGAGGACCACAAAACTCAGCGAATGGCTGCAGCGTTGAACTTTTTGGACGCTTACATAAGGATGGTGACTCTTACTCGATCGCATCGTTACTGGTGACGAAACATGGGTGAAACATGTGAACTGTGAAACGAAATTGCAATCAATGCAGTGGGGGCACACAAGTTCTCCCCAAAACCCAAGAAATGCATGCAAACAATGTCGGCAAGGAAGATGATGGCGACTGTTTTTTGGGACAGAAAAGGTGTAATTTTGGTGGACTTCCTGGAAAGAGGCACTACAATAAACTCTCAAAGGTATTGCCAAACTCTCCAAAAACTCAGAAGAGCAATTCAAAACAAGCGCAGAGGAATGTTGAGCTCTAAGATCTTGTTGATTCACGACAACGCCCGCCCCACACGCAAATGTCACTCGTAAGTTCTTGAATCTTTTAAGTGGGAGTTGTTTCCTCATCCGCCGTACAGTCCCGACCTGGCACCGAGCGCACTTCCACCTATTCCCAGCAATGAAGAAGTGGCTGGCTATGCAGCGTTTTGATGACGACGCACAGCTGCAAGAAGAGGTAACGAAGTGGTTGAAGGCGCAGGCCGGCCGAAGAATTTTTCGACGAAGGAATTTCCAAGCTCGTACATCGCTACGATAAATGCCTTAATTTGTATGGTGACTATGTAGAAAAGTAGTATTTGAGTGTGGCTTTCATCTGTATATAATAAAATTTGTTTCCTATACTTTGTTTATTTTTTTATTCCAAAACGTAATCTACTTTCTGGATAGCCCTCGTACATACTGAGAAGGCAGTGTTTGTGTTTGGGGTGGTATCTCTTTGGGTGGATGTGCAGACCTCCGTGTCTTTCCATGTGGAACCATGAATGCTCAGGCCTATAGAGATGACATTCTTGATGCTTATGTGCAACCTTATGCCGGGCAATAGGTGATAATTTCCTGCTACAGGACAACGGTACACCGCACAAGGCTCGCTTCATGGATGATTATCTTCAACAGCACGCAATTCGATGCATGGTGTGGCCACCTTGATCACTGGGGCTGAATCCTATTGAGCATGTTTGAAATGCTGGAAGACGTATAGCTACTTGCAATCCTCCTTTTCGGATCCTTCCCACGCTTGCAACTGCTTTGCAACAGCTCTTACTTTCTATGGAAATGATGAGACTGCATAATTGACAGCTTCTCACAACACTGTATGTGCTGTATTGCTTCTAGGGAAGATCATACTCCATATTGAAAGTAAGTTTCCTATACCAAATTTTGACACATCTCATTTCTTCATTTTATACATATGCTAATTTCTGAAACAACATACTTGTCTGGTAATTTCTTTTCATGTTGTTTTATACCTTACTATCTGCTGTATACTGTGGGTCAGTTTCATTAAATTCTACATGTAGCTTTTTGAGTAATCATCATTTTTGTGATTTTTCCTTAATTAATGATAACCAGTATATATGCAATGTAAGTATGAAATTATAACTCACTGCACATATACAATGCAGATATGCATTTGACTTTTTAATAAGAAGGTCTCTATAAATATATAATGCTCTTTAGGCTCTTATAAATTTATAATTCTAAGTGAAAAAACATGTGCTTAAAGAAACAAATACGAGTAATTAAAAAAAAAAAGTTTGAAAATTATTCAAATTTTTCTGTGCTTTCTTTTTACAGGTAATTTAATTGACATAGGCTATTTTTTATGTATTAAGTTATCATTAACATGATGCAATTAATGTACTAATTTTTAAAGTATGTGAAACTTAAATTGGAAGAAATTTTTGGAAATATGTGACATCTGTATAATCCAAGGATAGTCGAATACAGCTGAATATCATCGTGATCATGATTGCTACAAGTGAAAACAACACAGAGAAAACAATGCGAGATGAAAACGTTGCTGTACAAATAATTGTGGTAGAAAAGAAAGCAAGCAAAACATTGCAGTTCTAAAACATCTTCATTCAGAATAAAGCTGTTAAAAAACTTTGCAGATTTAAAAACATCGCCATCAAAAATATTGTGGTCAAAAATAAAGCACCTACAAATCATTGTATAACTATAACATTGCAGGCATGGGCTTTAAAAGCTGTAAATGCATATTTGTATAATAATTTGTGAGCACAAGAAGAAACAAGGAAAATTTTGAGGAATAAAATAAGGAATGAAAGAAATACCAACATCCTGAAATGTACAAAGATGATTACAAATGAGCAAAGTATGATAAGGGTTTCTTTCTTATGGTTATGGGTTAAGTCGTGTTTAGAACAGAAGGTAATCTTTGTGAAAATATACTAATCTATTTTGAAATGACTCAGAATAATTAAATATTCATTTTTATAATTAAGAAAAATCGTTGTATTATAAAATAAAATTAAAGTGAAAGACATTGCAGGTCAATAGTGAATTCAGCTGATACTGCAATATGCAGGCTAAGGTTATATGCTAGAATTAAAAGAAAGAACAATTCAAAGAAGGTATTATATTAGTAAGGTGTTAATGTAATTTTGCAATTAACACATTGTATTTTTGCCACTGTTAAACATTTCTGTTACAGAATACATCATGTTTTATTTATATTTTTTAGATATTCAGAAGTACTAAATGTGCATATGATGCACAATTTTGAAATCAGCAAAATAAATTTTGTCACATATAAAATGAAGTTAAGTAAATTAGCAGAAGATAAAATGATGAAAGTAAAAATTTTGGCTTATAATGTTTAATAATTAATACTTATAAATTACTTATGTCAAAATGCTTTTTTGCATGCTAAACATTAACAAAATCATAAATTAAAAAATATTACTAGTACATCACAAAGAAATATCAGCCTTATATTATTTTAATTCATTTTTAACCCCTTTCAAGAAAAGCCATAAGGATTGTTTTTGGCTTTAAAAATCTGAAAGAATCCCAAACCTTTCAAATTAAATATCTCAATAAATTTTTAGGGTAACTTTATTTTTTAGAATCACTATAAACTTTCATTATATATAACCATAAGGAGTGGGGACCATAAAATAATTAAATTCTGTAACTTTTACAAAATTAATTTTTTTAATTTAAAAATACTATTTTTAACTTTAATGCATTTACATATTTTGTAATTGCAAATACAAGCCTACAACTGACAGTTACGAAAATAAAGGTTATATGAGGACTTTTAAGGACATGCTTCATATATAGAGACACATGGCTATAGGAACTTTTAATAATATATAAAATTTACATAACATACTTTCATCCATATTTTCAAAATTTTCTTCTTTTTCTTCTTTTTCTTTCAAGCCACTTTCATTAAACTGAGTTGTTACTTCATAACTTTGGTCTCCAATAGATTGACGAATAGTTGTAATTTTATTTCCTTTGCTATCTGTAGTAGTGCGATGTTCTTCCACAACCTATAAACAAATATATGAATTAAGAATTAAAAACTTAGTATCATAATAATCCTATAAAAGAACACAATTAATATTCATAATTTTGAGATGTGAAATTTTGAGATTACAAATATGGCTTTTCACTAATAAGTACAAGAATCAGAAAGGGATTAACATATAAGAAAGGGAATGGATTCTAAATAAAATAAAATGAACATGGAATTACATTTTTCTGCGAGTCTCTCGTAAAGGAACAATGCAGGTACCAATGGGGGAAAGAAGAAATCAATGTTTTTTATTATACTTTTCTTCTATTCAAATAAGCAATGCATAGCACAAAAACTCTACTATGGAAATAAATTCCGACAGTCTACAAGTAACAGTTCCAGAAAAACTGCGAAAAGCAGAAAAGTTTTAAGCAATGACAAACATTTAAAGGATCCAAATACACAAGTTTCTTTTTAAGAAATTTGAAAAGGTAAATTTAATATATACATCTATCTCTCTCTATATATATAGAGAGAGAGAGAGAGAAATAGATTAAATTTACATTTATATAGATTTGCCAAGTAAACAAAATCATACTGAGGCATCAATATTTGCTTAAAAACTATGTTCATGGCAGTTGAAATTAATTGAAAGTCTCAGTAGAATGGGTTTAATTTCAGGATAGAAAGTACTTCCAATAGAGCTAACAGCTTTTAACTACTGACATCAGTATCAAGTAATACTAGGTAAATAATCATGATCAAACATACAAAATTAAATGCAAATTTCTCTCATTTGCTTTGATAATGATTTTTACTCTCTTTTATTTATTAAAAATAGACACTTCTCACATTTATTAGCACAATGGAACACTCTTTATACGACTTTCAAGAGACCATTCACAAACAATGTATAAATGAGAACAAACAAATGAAACTTTACGATGTGAAATATATACATTAATTTTGATACTACTAACATACTACTGACATTACACAATTTTATTGTCCTACTTTTGGTTTCTTTATAATATTAGCAAGTTGCAAAGCAGTAAAAACGTGTAAGAATAAACACAGCACCTCGCAAGCAAACATAGCTGTTTCCATTAAAAAAAAAAAAAAAAAGTCACAGGAAAACACAGGAAAAACCATGGAGTTTAGCAGAAAGCACATGCATTATCATGTCTTTACACACAGCACCATTTACCTTAGTTAAGCGAGTTTGAACTTATCGCACAGCCTTAGTACAATTTGAGGTTAAAATATTGCACCAAATTCTAACTTAACCATTTCACTTGTGCATAATTTACGATCTGAACTAGTAAAGCTTTAAGGACAGACGAAAATTAAATTCCCCGAGATATGCTGCTTCAGCAGATACACTGAGGACCTAAATTTTCAACTTTTAAACAGGTATAAGCCATGGCTTATCTACCCGAAATTCTGGTAATTAATATTAATACAAATTGAATATTTTTAAAATCATAAGAATGCAAATTTTTGTATGTAGTTATGAGAAATTTAAAAAAAAAAAAGAAAAAGAAAAAGAAATCATACCTTTATTGGCATTTTCATCTTGAATAAGTAACATTTTCTTCCAAAAACATTTTAAAGCAAAATTTATCTTTTTTAAAAGTCTTTAACTGTCGTCTGACATATATTTTGTTCTGAATCTCAAGCAAAGTGCTATGAATGGAATTTAGTTCTTGAAATGTTTTCTCGCTTGTATTATTTCACACGAAGAAATTTCTGAGGGTACCAATGCAGTACACAGCATTTTGAAAAGAAGGTGGAATTATTTCTTCATCTCCACTGCTTAAATGTTCATCTGGTAAAATGTTTTCAATCAGTTCTTCAACTGTACATAAGTCTGACATCATTGAATTAGAATCATAATTTATGTAGTTTCCAAGCTTCTTCATCTATAATCACAGTTTTAACATCAGTTTCATTTGGGTTCGAAAATCGCTCCTTTAATAAACAATTTTTAATTATTTGTGGTTTTACTTCAGTCCAGGCTAGTGAATTCATATTCACAGCCTAAAAAATATTATTTTTTAGTTCCCTTGCTGTAGTTATTTTTTGAAGGGCTATTAGAATCAACCTTTGCCTGTAGAAAATTGTCAAACTCTGAATAACACCCAGATCTAAAGGTTGTACTACATTAGTGCAATTTACCGGTAAGAAAACAACTTTCACATTTTGCAAGAAATCTATTGTTTGAAAACAGGCAGTACACTGATTGATAAAAAGTAAAATTTTATGGTTTTGTCAGCGCTTAGTTTTTTTTCTTGAGGGATTCTGTAAAAATATCTGTGTCATCCATGCTTTCTTATTAGCTTTATATTCTAATGGCAGAGCTTTAATATTTTCAAAATACCTTGGTTTTTGTGACTTTCCTATAATTAAAGGAGTCTTCTTTTCATTACCATCAGCATTTACACAAAGTAAAACAGTGAGACGTTCCTTACTTTGCTTAGCTCCATGACAATGGTCAACTTTAAAAGCTAAGGTTCTTGCAGGCATAAGTTTTAAAGAAAAGAGCAGTTTCATCAACATTAAAAATGTCTTTTAATTCATATTCATCTATTTTAGTGGATAAATTCTTGAACCACTCTTCAACCAATTCAGAAGGAATTATTTTTTGAGTTTCTATTTATTATATGACATGAGATTCCATGGCAGAGTTTGAATTTATTCAGCCATCCAGTTGAAAAGGAAGCTTTTTTCGCATTCAGTTGAGATGCCATTTCTTTTGCCTTCTCGATTAACATGGGCCATTCACAGGAATACTGTATGCATGAAATTGAATGAAAGATTTTAGCAAAATGGCTTCGACCTCATGAAACTTTTCATCTTGTACATGCAATAAATATCTTTGAAGTAGATTGTCCACAGATTTCTGATCTTTCTTCAACTGTCCCCCCCTATCATAAACAACCATCTGTAGTGTTGTCACAGCAATATCCAGTTTCCTTGCTTTCGTCAAACCAGTATTTTCATCAAATTCTATTACGATTTTAACTTTATCTTTAAATGATAATGCCTTCGCTTTTGTGACATTTTGTATCAGTTAATTTTACTCAACCTATATACTTACACAGCATCTTTTTTAAGAAGGAATCAAGTTTTCTTTTCAAGTATACCATCAATTCATGAACTGGTTTTTCCACTCCTGTACCAGACTGTGAAATCTCATGCCTTTGTTCCCTTCTCCTATTCTCATTTCTAAGAAAAATACTTGATATGTGGGACTGTGAAATGTAAAACCAATGCAGTAAGTCACATAAAAGTGTAGTATAACTAAAGTTATGGAATGTAAAAGAAATATTTTACTATTAAAATAAACAGTACTGAATTGGGACCAATACATATAAATGTGAGTCGCATAAACGGTGGTTCACTTCATTTATAAGCTTCTGCTAAGTGAACAAATATCATTTAAAGTAACCACATGAAGGTAAACTACGAAGAAAAAAATTGCTATTTCTTTTTGTAACTGTTATTTAAATGATATCAACATGACATCAATTGCTGCCAATTGGTAGGCAGTCTTAACCATGATCACTTATAATTCACTTGTCATGAGAAGAGCTCTAAGTGGAGTTTCCGTTTTGACACAGTCCATTAATGAGGGTGATAAAGGACATACAATTTTAAGTTTGGAGGTCACATAGTGGAAACTGTTGGAATAGAAAATACTTTAGACTCTGTATTAACTGAGATTTCAGAAATAAGGGAGCCACAAATTGTACGAATAAAATTTGCTACATAAATTATTAACAGTTTTTACACATGGAATAATGCATTGAAGTACACAGCTGCTTTCAAGAAGAACTCCTGCAAGCCAATTTCTGTTCTTTAAATGCCAATTGTAACAGAATCATGAAAACAATAATGCAGCTAATAACAATTTTATATTAATAGAAAAAAATTTTTTAATTTGTAAAAATTTTTGAAATACAAGATTCAATTTTATGTGCAAAAGAAACAGAGACAAAATACTGAACTAAAATATTAGCGTACACAGTTTATGCTTTACTGTTTGATTAAGCATACTCATACAAATAATTTACTTAAATAAATATATTTGCTTTCAAGACAAACATGGATTCTTCCCTTTACTTGCTGCAAATATCCACTGCCTTTGTCGACTTCAGAAGAAAAAATTTTAAAGCATTTTCATATGCATTGTATTACATTGTATATGACAGTCATAGAAACACCATTTTCTTTTGCAAATAGAGAAAAATTGTGACTCAGGACCTTGAGAATAGATCAAAATGTTTTTAAGATTCCTGGAATTATAGAAGCAAATAATTAATTTTAACTCACTGCATTTTTTTTTTTTTTTTTTTTTTTTTTTAAACGTCACAGATGCAACAGACATTCTGTTGTGATGGTTGAAAGGGAAAATAAAAATAACACCTTGAAACTGAAATTAAGTGGAGCATTTTAAATAATCAAATGATGCTTAAATTTTGATTTCAAAACTAGGAATACAAAGGCTTTTTCTATTGTTTTGATCATATAAAAAAAGTTACTTGTATACCTACACTGCCTCCAGATGTATATTTTTGAATGAGCCCAACATAGGATTTTCAACCAGTTATGGACACCTAGCATTTATTGGTAAAGCAATTTTGTTTTTGCATCAAAAATTGTGTGACTTTTCTGTTTTATTTTCTTATATTTCAAAAATATGATTAAAATAAAAATTTTGAATAAGGAGATGCCTCTACATTAAATACATTAAATTGTTCCTACAAAAATTTGGGAGTTATGATAGAAATAATTGTTGGTATCCTGTAAGAAGCATGAATAAACTCATTTTTCGAACTTTATTTCCTTTATTAATTTTCTATTTTGCAACTGATAGATATCTTCTTTTCTCTCTCTTTTATCTATTTTAAATAGTTTGTATTTTCTTTCTTCATCTTCAGTTATTTTCAGAGCACAAGAATAACATTGATTTACAATATTAGCAATTAGTGAACATATGTACTTGTATTTATAACCATGAAATAAACTTTC